ACACACACACACACACACACACACACACACACACACACACACACACACCCACCCGTGGCCCTAGGGGCCCAGGGGCTCTGCCTCAGGCGGGCGGTGGCTCAGCCTGTTCCTGCGGTAGCCCAGAGGGGAATGCCTAGACTGGACCCTCGGGCGCCGCCAGGGCTTTCTTTTCCCCACCCAAGTCTTCCGCCAGCAGCTGATTTCCCCCATCTACCGCCAACCACAGAGTATGCAAACGCGCGGTTCCCAGGCAAACAAAACTAAACTAAAAACAAACAAGCAAACAAGCAAACCTTCAGAATACGAAGAGGGAAATTGGATTCTAGGAAGCAGGTGGAGAAAAGTCTGGGTACTCTGAGAGTTCAGGGGTGAGGACAAAACTCCACACATCTTTCAAACGTGGTGGGAATTTCTTTACTTTCCCGTTTTCCGTTCCTTCTCGTCGTGGTTTCTTGCTGTCTTTTATATCTCCCTCTTGGTGAGCGTGGGTTTTAGTTTCCACACACTTGGAGTCCTCGTGGGAAGCCATTCTGAGAGGAGGGAAGAGCGACTTTGATTTAGATCTAGTCTCAGGGCCTATGCTATCCCCACCAGCAGAAGCCGACACAGATGGTAAAGAGACCCTTCCCAACTTCGCCCCCACCTGTCTCCTACCTAGCAGGAGCAGTCACCGCTGAGTTAGAGAATTGGTACCTGTAAACTGGGTACCAGTAGAAGCTATAAAAGAATATTAAGAATATTAATAATAGCCTCGTGTGATTAACCACTCATTTAGATCCCTCCAGGTTTGGCTTAGTGCTACAGGAATAACTAGAGCCTAGAGGCATAGACGAAAAATTAGGAAATGCTCCACCTACACACACACACACACACACACACACACACACACACACATACATACATACATACTCGGGGTGGGGGGCAGGGAGAAGCTGTGGAGGCAGGGGATTCACTACTCACCCTCTGCCACACAATCAACATGGAGTACACGGGACCCTGTTTCAAAAAGCCCCAAAGCGGCCGTTGACAGCCAGCAAATGGAGGTTTGTACAGGGACTGTGTCTTTGTAGGGACGGAAATAAGAGGGAACAATGTCCTTCAAGAAACACAGCCGCTCCCTGAAGGCCCACACACTTGCTTTGCCTTCTAGCTTACCATGTTCCCTGTCAGCCCTTCTACTTCTCACAGATGCACTTAACCCCAGAACCTAAGGCACTGTGCCCAGAGACGCCCTCCTTAGACAAGAAAGATGTCTTTGACACCTTGAAGCTACTACTGAGTGAGGGCTGGCAGGTAAATTTGTAGACAACTAAGTCTGGAAAGTGCAAGCCCTCTGCCTTCCTTCCAGAATTCCACACCGGGCACTCTGTCCTCTCCCAGTTTGGAGGTGGGCAATCCCTTCTGCTCACTGGGCAAACTCCTGGCTCTGATGAGTGAAGAAATGTTAGGGTGGTGGTAGCGTTTGTACATTTGAACCAAGTTCATTGACTTACAGGCTTCCCCATCCTGCCCCAGGCTGGAGAGGGAAGTGGAGATGGGTGGGGGAGGGAGGGTACTAACTCTTTAGGGAGCCATTATACTCTGGGTTCCTCGGGTTGACGTGAGTAAATGACTGTGCCACGAGTGTCTTAGAGAGTGGGGATGTGGGGATGACCTTTTAAAATGTGTCACAAACCTTCAAGCTCTCAGACAGCCGTTTCATCACTTCACTCACTCTCTAGGAGAAGATGTCATTTCAAGTTCTTTTGCGTGTGGCCGGGAGATCTAGCCCAGCCTACAGCACTCCTGTCCTAGGAAGCTGGAAGTTTATTTGGAAGCAAAGACTCTAGCTAGGGCTTCCCTCTTTATACCGACAAGGTGTCCTTTCAGGCATAAAGCATTTAGAAACGTCCTCCTTGTAGGCTGTGAAGATTAAACATGAGCCTGTAAAAGGTTTGGCACTTAATAGGCACTCATTAAAAGTTAGTTCCTTTCCTCTATGTCCTGAAGGGGTTGGCAGATTTTATTACTCCTCCAGATGGAAGCACTGAGCTGGGGTAGTGGAGGAGCTGCAGAGGGGTCATTAGCGTCCCTAAAGTTCTTGCCCTGAAACCCAAAGGCCATCAGACTTATCAAGATATCAGACTCAGTCCCTTGAGACAGTGAGGGACAGTACAGAGGCATGTAATGCTCCATTCCAGGCTCAGGCCACCATAGGTGGGCTCTCACAATACCACTGCCACAGAGACTCTAATTAGCCCTAGGCCTCACTCCCCTGAGTTAAGAGAGCAGTTCCCCCCTTCTCCTCTAGCCCTCATGGCTAGAGCAGATAGGGACCAGAATAAGAGGTGGGGAGCACTGTATTCTGCACCTTCAGAGTTCCTTGGTTTCCAAATGTTACACTGGACCTGGTGCCCATGGAGGGAGAGGACGGCCACAGACTGTTAATTTAAAGCTCAGGTTCCATCCCTGATCAAAGGACTGGAACATAGTTCTGTTTGTTTATTTATGTATTCATTGCTTCTGGGGAGAGAATTGGAGCTTTGCTCATGCCCTGCAAGTGCAGTTATTTTTTAAAAAGCATCAATCTAATGTCACCTTTTAAGAGATGTCACCCCTGTCCCAAGCCCTATCTTCCTACGGCTGACCCTTCCAGAGGTCCTGTGTGCCCAGCACCTGTCATTTAAGCTAGGGCAGGACAGTCAGTCTGAGGAGGAGAGAAGAAGGCAACAGTCTTTAAGGCTGAAAGAAAGACCCTCAGGATCTGGAGTGCTGTGGGAGGCCTGGCTTGTGCATGGAAGTATTTAGCAGGTTCAGTGCCATTATTGCCTAACAGGGTGTGAAAAGTAATATGAATGTGAAATACTGTGGGAAAATGGAGAGTTTCCAAGCAGGCAGCAAGGTCCCTCTGGCTGGCCTGGAGGACTCAGAATCCCTCAGCCCCTTTGTGGGGCTTCAGGAGTTCTGAACAGGAAGGCGTAGGGAAGGTGGGGGTGGGAAAGGGCTGAAAGGGGGAGAGAAGAGAGACCAGCATTAAGAGCACTTTAGCGGCAGATGGCTACCCAGCTGACAGCTCGGGGGTAAATCCCTGCTTCCTCTACTCCCCAATGTCTGATGCCTCTATGTGTATAAAAGATGAAAACAATATTTCATCCAAGTTAAAACAACAACAACAACAACAACAAAAACCTGTCAACCCAGCAAAGGGCCATAAGAAAATGTGTGTGGGCTTCCTCAAGAGGTGGAGAGGAGGGCTGAATGCCCGACTTCCGATGGAAATGTCCCAAATCAAGACCGGATCTAGAGCGCACAAACCTGGCTGCCTAGGCGGTGTCCTGTAAACAAAGGCTCCCTCAAATTCTGACAGTAACACCTCTACCTCCAATATACAGACAGGGGTTCCGACTTTCCCACCTTGGGCCTCGGCAAATCCTGTCTCAGGCAATAGAGGGAGCCAGACTTTCTCAGCAATCCTTGGGAGGTGCGATATTTTTTCGACCTGTTTTTTTTTTGGGGGGGGGGTAGGGTGGATAAAGGCACACTCCCTTCCTCCTCACCCCCACACGAAGAACATAGAGGCGCAGGATGGAATTACCCTCAACCCCATCCGCATCCTCAGACATCCCTGCCTCTTTCCATACATGAATAAGCTCATGCATGGCTAGTCCACATTTAGTTGAGGAAGCGAGGAAGTGAATGCTTCCCTAAGAGACAGGAACTATCTTGTTTGTTTTTTTGTTTTTCTGGAGCCTCCTTCAGTTTGAAGAGCTTGTCTTTCGCTTCTACAGCGCAGCACTCCGTAAGACTGCATCGCAGCAGCCAGGCTCACAGGTGCTCACAGATGGTAAAAATGGTGCTGGTGGGAAAACAGACCTACCCCATTGCGTATCATTCTGTTTTACAGGTCACTATGCAAACGCGAGCCGCCGCAGTCACCGAATTTCTCCGCGTTCTAACAAACAGCAAACCGAGGCTCTGGGACCCGCAGCGTAGAGGAACACAGGAAGGGCGAAGGGCGTGAGGGGATGCGCAAGGAGAAATCAAAATCAGAAACACGGAGACCAGGTGGGCCCGAAAACGGTGGCGCTGACCTCCAACCTCCTTCCGGAGGCCTGAAGCTCCGAAGTCACACCCGGAGGTCCAGCTCCCAGGCGCGCGGAGGAGCGACCCCGAATCCCAAGGAGCTGGCTGCGTCCCCGGCCCTGGGCCTCCTCCGAGGGCTCGCAGCTCCTTCCCCGCACCCCGGCTAGCCTTCCTTCTCCGCGCGTGGGGCGCAGGCTCCTTCCTTCCCGTGCTTCCCGGGTGAGCTCACTTCCTCCGGCGCCGCGCCATCCCCGCGCGGCTGGCGCCCCCCGGCCTCCAGCTGCTGCCCAGCCCGCCTGGACGCCCAGCCTGGCCTTCACCCCCTCTGCTTTCTCGCCTTAGGGGCTTGTTGGATCCGCCCCAGGTGGGATTCCTCCTGGAAGAAAGCGGAAGAAAAAACGCTCAAAACCCTGCCGAAGCGGCTTCTTGCAGCTCCCAGCTTCAGCTCAAGTCCAGGCCTACGGTTTCTGGGATGCCCGTTTGACTCCGGGCCAGGGCCCTGGGGCGCTTTCCTTCTTTCTTCCTTTCTGCCCCGCCCCCTTTCCACTCCGTTTCTCACTTTAGCTCATTCGTGTTTTTAAAATTCATATGTAGGCGCATTTAAATGAAAGCAATTTCGCGTTTAAAAGTCGGCAGCAGCGGGGGGGTGGGGGATTACAAATAGGATGGGGTTTAATTAGCTGGTAATACTCCTCTCATGCCCTATAATTAAACATAGATTCTAGTGGCGCTTCAGGGCCCACAAGTGATTATTACGAGCATATTTTACGTTTACATTAAAACTCTGTCCCCGGAGTGTAATATGGGATTTGACTCCATTTATTCGTATTTCAAAACTGAGCACTGAGGCCAGAGCACGGCTTTCCAGTAATGGAAAGCTGATGTGTGTAGGCTGTTTGGTTTCCTTGGCTGATTTTGATTTTTCCGCCTTATCTTGCTGATTCTGAGCGTCTCCTCACCTCCCAAAGCCAGAGCACCTAGGGATGGGAGTGGGGGAGGGGGGCCGGGAGGGAATATTTGCGCAAAACAAGAGCAACTTTGGGTGTCTGGTTTGTATACAGAGGCACAGCCAGGAACATCTAGGTATCCCCAGTAGAAACTCAGAAGTCTTCGCTCATACCTAAATAATCCCCAGTGCTCCCCTAGCAGGCCTACAACCTCTTGCCAGCCTAAGGGCAAGGCCAACAGGAGATCAGTACCTAGCTGCCTTAGCCAGGCAGTCCTCTGTCCCAGCCTTACCTCAGCGACTCCGATGCTAAAGGAAGCCCATGCTTCTGCTGTCAGGAGAGTCACCTTCCTTGAATTAGAGCAGCTTTCTTCTTAGAAACACCACTTCCTTTCCCCAGGAGAGACCAATCCATTCTCCTGGGCTGGCTTGGGGAAATATTAACCAACATGAAGTATCTGTGGTGTGAAAACACCAATCTCCAACAGCTGTCTTGGAACAAAATAAAGACATTCAGGAAATGGTGGAGATAGGTCTGTTTACTCATCTGACCCCATGAGCTGTTTCTCTCTTCACAGCTAGTCCTTCTATGTTACCTCCTAAAACATTTCCTGCTGAAACTTTCTCTTTATTTATTTCCAGTAAACAAGAGATCCCTGGAAATAACTACCCATAGAAGGAAGAGGAACCCACCACTCTCATTTTCAGTTATTAATGAAACTTGCTGGCCTAGTACCAGGAGCATCTTCAAACCTGCCATGTATGTACAGACAGGGCTAGACTGGATGAATTCTGCACGTCCATATCTACTGTGGAATTTAGTTCTTTTCTTTTGTAGTCATATTATACATGCATGCAAAAGCACATTTTCAGAAATACACACACACACACACACACACACACAAATAATTTGTAACAGTTTGTGCCAAGTTGCAGAAGAAGTGTACATTTTAAAATTCTGAGGGCTTCCTCAAGACCAACCAAAATCTCCTGGGACTAGAAAGAGACCTCCAGGTGAAAAGCCCGAGGGTGGGGGTGTAAGTAGAGCTACTAAACACAACCACCGTCCAGGTCTATTCACAGTGGTCACATGATTCATTAGAATCCTTAACCCTCATGAGAACACTAGCATCAGACCCTCTGACCCTGCCAGTGAAACCTCATAAAACTGGCCAAGATGTTGGCCAACATACGAACACACATTAATTGGAGTGACATGGTCCTTTGGCTTCTAATCTGATGAACAACTTCAGTGCTGCGGGGGCCCGAAGGTTTGGGGTCCCTTTCACCACCAAATATACCTTTTGGTCCCACTAAGGCTTCAGTTGGACACAATACATGATCTGAAAAAGAAAAAACAAACAAACAAACAAACAAACAAAAATGAGTCCCCTTTACCAGGTAGCTTACCCTCAGCATCTAAGGCAAATTCAGTCACTGGATCCCTAGGAGCAACAGGCAAATCCATATGCATAGAAGGCAATACTTATTACTAATTCTAGTACTATTGTGATGCAGGATTGGGGAGAGTCAAAAGTGAAAACAGACACATTTTTGTTATTAATAAATGTATAGGTATCTAACAGCCCTCTGCCCCCACCCCCAACCCCAATGATGGTAGTCTTTTCAGGAGCTGAAACTGCTTCCAGCATCATTTACAGGAACAAGTGAAGGATGGCATGGTGAAGAAGAACGTGGGCTTGAGCCAACTTAACTATAATTCTGGCCCAGGACTGGAGGTCAAAGAACATCCAGAAAATAGAACTACTTCATCTCTTGTAATGTTTCCTACACAGGCACACACCTGTAATCCCAGCACTCAGGGAGGCAGAGGCAGGTGGACTCCATGAGTTTCAGGCCAGCCTGGTCTACAAAGTCCAGGACAGCCAAGGCTAAGCAGAGAAACCCTTTCTTGAAAAAGGGTGTCTTTTTCTACATCTACATATTTCACATAAATAACAGTAAGGATAAGTCACTGTCTAAGTTAGAATCAGGGGTTAGGCCCTTAAACTTATCCCAAGACCACACAGATGAAGATGAAAGTGTTGCAAAAGCTGAAAGATTTCGAGAATCTTAAGAGAAAGAAGAGTATTTTGCTTGCTTTAAAAAAAACAAAAAACAAAAAACAATCACCTCTGGCTATATCTTCATCTCAAGTGTTGTGTGTATGGGATTGTATATGGATGAAGATCAAGTTCAGGGCCTCAGGCACACTGAGCAAATGCTTTACCACCTTTGCCACTGATCATCCTTACTCTTTACCTTTTGTTGGGTTGTGAATAATAAAATTCCTGAAAGTCTGCATGATTATTTCATTGCAGAATTTATCTCAAGTATTTTATAGTGAATACATATTACCTAATCCTTTGCATATCCATTTATAACTTCCACAAATTAACTGCAGATGAGAACACTGTAAAAACTCTTTTATAATAAGAGAAAATTTATTCATGACTTATTTGATGAATAACAATTTAGCTGTTTTCAATTTTGAGGGATGAAGGGATAGACTATTGGATAAGGGAATTCTTAGCTTGTGGAAGGCCCCAAAACAACACAAAAGCAAAATCAGTTTGAGTTGGAGGGAGAGCCACACCAAAATAAGGAAAAAAAACCCAAAACAAACAAACAAACAAAAAGCCCCAAGTCCACAGCTCCAGATAGAATTTTATAATCTCTGTGTATTTAGTTGTTTTTTCTTTTTTTTTCTCTCTCCTCCTTTCCTCCCCTTCCTTATTCTTTGGCATTAGTTACAAAATAAAGAGAGTCCCTAGTGATAATTTGTGTTGTAAAATTTAAATTATAATCAGAACATATCTTATACCATGACTAGATTGTATTTTGAGCCTTCTTAACTCCTACAAGGATCCCACCCCCTCCCATCCCCGTGCCCCCCCCCCTCGATCAGCTGAACAGACATAATCTGGGGAAACCTGCAATGCTAGAACCACACTCTTTTTGGCTTCTCTATGTATTAGAAAGCATAGAGAAGATGCACAAACAATGGATACCAGTGGGGAAAATATCTAGAACAAGATTGATGCCTGTGTGTTTTGTATATATTTTTGACTCAAGAGAACATCATGCCTTTTCATTAGGGATACATCTCATGGGGTAAAATGGGACAGACTTTTAACTCCAGCACTTAGGAGATGGTCATAGGGGGAATACAAGTTTAGTGCAAGATCATTCTGGATTACTGAGGAGAATTCTATCTTTACAAACAAACAAAACCAAGTAAGAGAATTTCATTCAGGTATACAAGAGAGACAAGACAGATGCTAAATGCAGCATAGTTACCATCTGTTGAATATTGACGAAGTACTAGTTGCTATCTTTTGAGAATCTAGGATTTTAAAGCATGTAATACACTTCCTGTTTTGTTTAATGGGTTCTAAATTGGAAATCTGACCAGAAAAGGCTACTTTTATGAGAAGAAAAATATTTTAGATGAGACAAAAGGTATGCATCCCTCCTTTTAACCTCCCGAACAGGGACCAGCCAGTTTAAAGCTACTTGCACCTCCAGTAGTCATTGGGAAGGTAGACTTGAAAGAGAGTCTTCAGTGTCACAGGGAAAGACTAAGCTACAATATAGTGTCTAGCAGATGATTTGAAATTAACTTTTCTTTTTTTAAAGGAAGAAGATACTAGCCTAGAAAGGGCTTCCTCTCAGGGAACCCACACCCAATTAGACCTCTCAAGGAGAACTCTAATGGGGTAAAAGTTTATAGTCCTGGCTGGTCTGGAACTTGCTTTGAAGACCAACTAGACTTTCAACTTTTGGCGATACTCCTGTACCCACTCTCCATGTGCTCATATTGTAGGCTCAGCACCATGCTTGGCTCAAACTTAAGTTTTTTAAAAAAAGAATAAAAGCGACAAAACTAAGGGTGAACTCAGAAATCAAAAGAACCAATTGTGTTT